GAATAGATAAAAAATAATATGGTTAAACTCGATGAGTAAAAACATAATTTAAAAAAATCAATTTTAAAACGAAATTTATAGATTATTTTTTATTTTCCTTTTTAATATATAAAAAATTATTTAATGATTTAATTCTAAATCAAATGTAAAATAGAAAGGAAGAAGGTTTAATATAGTTTTTCAATTCTGATTATTATTTTGTTATGATTCCCAATATATTGCTGTGATAAATTCAAATCATCGTAAAAGTATACAATTGAAAGGAGTTAAAGTGCATTTTAACTCCTCTAGATGTTTCAATGTATAGGTACATGAAAGTTTGTCATAAAGCTTATACATAGGTATGTAGTTGTACATTTTACACAGTACAGTGTAACATTTATTAAGCTATAAAATTGATTTATTTGTGTGCTGATTGTCTAAAAGAAAATTTTATATCAACGTGCTTCATACGTCGGTCTATCCTGCCATCTGTATCGATGAAATTTCAATCCCCTCCCAGAAAGACTAATAACTATCGTGATACAAATACGTGATTGGTAAGGATAAAGACTCCGTCCCTACGTTGCTCCTATCGAGATACTCATCGGTTATTGATAACAGCTTATCTCGGGTTATCGACTACTGTTTGTTTAACCAAAGCGTGAAGACAAACAATTGTCTTTAAGCATCCGTGAATCAGCGGATTTGCAGAACAATATTTACAAATTCTATAGAATTATAGGTGTAAAATGTTTCTCAAATTTTTTTATATTAGTTGAGTCAAATAAAGTTTAAAAATTGTTCGACAGATTTTGAAATTTGTCAATTATTTAATGTGCACTGTTAAATCTATAGTGTCAAATTTAACTTAACGTGAGTTAACAATAATATCAGAACTGAAGTCTATTTTTGATTTTGTGACTTTGACTTTGACTTTGTCACTTTGTTTACGGTTGTGTGAATAGTAACTCACGTGAAGCAAGGCATATTTATGCAGGAAGATATCTCCAATGCAATTTATCGTTTCGTCAAACATTTGCGAACATTCACCTGTATTTCGGAAACTGATCCGTTTAGGACACATATTTATATGGACTTTTTTACTTGAAATAAACCAAAGATCACTCTGTTGAGTATGGCAACATACTTTACTAACATCCTGTATTATAGTGTCAAATTGATACTATATAGTGTCAAATATAGCCATTATTTTAGTGTAAAATAACGATATGATTGAATAGGAGCAGTGGCGACTCACATTAAGTTAAATTTGACATTATAGATTTAACAGTGTAAATATAAAAATATACTAATTGTTTGTAACTTAATCATTCGCTACATCTACATTAATTAATTCAATACTTTCTTCAATGATAATCAATAGAAAATTATATATCACAAGACGCAGATCTCTAATTTATAGGTATTTGACGAATAGATATTTGATTTCTGAAAATAGCCTGATAAAAGGAGTTTCTACGAGATTAAATCAGTGCGTTATCATTACAGCTGATACCATAAGTCTTCATTCACTTGATGCTATCATCAGTCTGTAATCACGCACATGCGTGGTCTCTTCCATTCAATCTCGCAAAGTGCTCTGGCAAAATATTTTTTCGCATCAGTTCTGATCCATTTGATACTAAACAGCAAATGAAAAATTTGTGAGTTTTATTTATATGTCTTAAGATTAACTTCAGCCATAAAAATAAATTTTCAAACTACAGATACCCAGAAAAAACTACATGTTTAATATAATACGTAAATACGTGGGTGATTCAAGTCAAATCAGGACTTTTATTCTTATGTTCATGAGAATAAAAGACCCGGTTTGACTTAAACCACCCATGTATATTATAAGATATACAATTTTAATTAATTTAAGTTTCAATAAAAAAATAAAACATTTTTGAAAGAAATTTTAAAAAATTACGTTCGTTTTATTGCAGTTTAATCTGCAGAAATTCCCGTTGATACTCGTGCGCGCTTTTAATAATAAACATATTTATGCTTTTTCAGAAGTTAAAAGTCCATACATATAAGAGCTTTTACAATCTAAAATTATTCGCGTTACTGATACATGACAGAGAGACGTTATTACGTATCAATTCAAGTACATAGCTTTTTCATGCGATCTATTGAAATATTTTCTTTCCATAGAATTTTATTGGACATAATAAAATTCAATGATCTCGAAAGATCGTGCGACAATTGATATATGTAATAATAATAATGAGAGAAGTGGCGCAAGTAGGAGGCGTGGGAAACTATATATATTAGATATTCGAGAATATCACAATCAATCGTTTGATTGAAGGGTGCGTAGGTAGACAACACCGATTACTAAAATTATAGGAAATGTCTAGGTAGCGAATGTTCAACAATAATACGCAAGTCGAGACAACGCTCTGCGATCAAAGTTTCAATAATAGATTACGTGTATAACGTACGTATTCGCAAGGATTGTATTACAAGCTCAGAATATAAACGACATTTGTCGTTGGTTTCCACGTAAACTTGTTAATTATTCTTGTTTACGATATCGGCCATTTAATGAAAGTGCAAAGCTGTTCGTCGACTAGGCATTGTTTCTTTTGCTTTCGTTTTCGTTTCGCTGTTAAGTGTATGTTGAGTATAAAATAAACGTTTCCCTTTATACGAGCCTTACACAAGGCGCAATATTTACGAAGAATCGTGGAATCGCTATTTCGCCAGTAATTGATTTTTACGACGCAGTAGTTGTTCACCTTCGGATAAAAGCGTTTGGATAGCCATATCCTGTTTTTTTTACAATAAAATACAAAGCTGAAGACAAAATACAGTTTTGGAAATTCTGTTTGACATTATCCGCTTAACAAACAGTGTAAAATAAACTTTACGCAAGTAGAATATTCATTCAGAGTTGAAACGTTAAAAAAACATCAAACGCTTCGTATTGATCGAAGTCTACCAATTGCAATTACAAAGTTGCATAAATTTTTTTACATCGTTGAATTTCCAACTTGATAAACCTTAGCAAGAAAACTTAAAATTACATTATAATAAAATATCTTAAAATTCAAGAACTTCTAAAAAAGTTTTCTCAACATGTCACAATTATTTAAAAGTTTAAAAAAATATTGTCTTCAAGTGAAAGGCACTAAAAGAAAAGATATAAATAAATTGTCTTGTTTACAATACCGGTCGTAAATATTTTTAAAAAGATAATGACCGTCATTACAGTCTTTCATTAGTTATTATATATTATAGCTTTTCAATAAATTTAAAAAAATTGGAATTAAAATCCTACTGAAAAGAAGATTTAAAATAAACAAAAATCTGTATTTTTTATCATTTATAACTCAAAACTATTGATGTCTTCATGTTTAATGAGAATCTCCAATTCAAATTAAGATAAAAAACTTACTCGTGATATTTTATATGGTAATTTGATCGAAAATAAATTTATTCTTATATATTTCATATTTTAATGGCTAAAAAATGTACTATAATTTTTATTTCAATTTTTTAAAGAATGTATCCCCTATGTAAGTAATTTCATCTTTTAGTTTAAGAAAATTAGGATGAAATACAGTTTGCGGCTAGCTTCTGGCAACCTTATATACCCTCGAAAGCAACAGTTGGTGGGGAGTCACACGAGCTGACAGGCGCACAAAACGCGGGTGCAACGAGGAAAGCTCGAAACGAATGGTAACGGGGGTGAGCGTGGGAGAAAGAGCGAGAGAGATAGAGGAGAGGGGTGGAGGGAATCGGAAATCGAGCGGACATGCGTAAGATCCGACAATATACGGACGTATATCTGAGGAAGGCAGTCGCGTTGAAACGGCGCCCGACGTCGGACGTGCGGATATGCATGGACATTTTCGGACAATCCGCAAACACTTTGAGATATTACGCGAATGAGACGCTCAGAACGGGAGCAAGCACAGCATAAATTCTGACGGGGGAATAAATTTTAAAATTGACGATACGCGGCCGGGGAAATTCATTGATAACACCGAGGGTTAGTTCGTGTAAATCGTGCAACGGTAACTAAGAACGATCGAAAAAATAAAATAAATGATAAAAATTTATACCATCGCGATAGATATTGATTCAAACATAAAAAAAAAATGATAATATAATATTTACGTGACGCAATGTGTACAACGACAAGTGTCCAGTTACATTACGCAATATAAAATTACTGAAGGGATGCTCGGAATTTTTCAAACAGCGAGACATGCATAACCGCGTACTACTTGTAAGCGTTACCGATCTCGTGCATTGTTGTAATTAACATACTTTTATCATACAAGAGTTATCAAATAGTCAAAAGGTAATAACATTTAACATTTAACATTATATCTGTACTAATGGGATATAGAGAAAACTCATCGAAGCTTGTCGAAGGAATTTATTTAATAGGAAAGATTTATTCTAAACTTTCTTCGTTGAAAAAGCCACACATGAAAACGAAATCTTGTGGGCGATCTATCAAAATATCTACCTAAATCATTCATTCACTGAAAAATATATAGATTATTATATAGATTATTATATAGATTAATATTTGATAAGATTATTTTTTGTAGATCTATTTTTCTTAGCTTTTATTTTTTATTATTTAAAATTAGATATATTAGAAAAAAAATGTTTTATTCCATGAATCAAAGTTTTGCTATAACAACAAACATTTAGTTAATTTTTACAGGATAGGAAAATCACTATATGACGCTGAAACAGTATCATATTTTAAGACAAGAAATACAATAAAAAATAATGAATTATAACAAATTTCTTACTCAAGGAAAAATTGTAAGATATTAAAAATCCCCCTCCCTTCTAAAGGTTAAAACGTATCAATTAAAACTATAATTTTATGGGAACTAAATTGCTTCGCTGGTAAAAACAAATATTTTTGTTTTTTTACGCAGAAAAATGTATTTCGTGGAACTAAACTTTATATAACACAAATTATTTGCTGTAAAAAAATTAAAGCTACATTTTTCTTCCTATATTCAGAAAAAAAAGGATTGCAGAAAAATTATAAAAAGTTTCTATAAGATGAGTTTCTATAACGAGTAACGTGATGTCTTCCAGTTGTAATGCATACAAATGATACAAATATGCGGGATACTACTTCAAGTTAATATCATATTCCACCTCAATTTAGGACAAAGCGAGAGTTAATACATAAATGACCACGACAAGATTCTAAGACGCCACAAGAGACAGATGACAGATATTACATAATTAAATTCCTATTATCCTCGGCGTGTTATGGAGAGATTGTCGCTTATCATCGCAATATAAACAGGTGTACTATCGCGCGCGATACATTGAGCATTTCGACGTTTTTCATAACAGACAACACACGATATGATGATCTTTCGTGAATAGGCCGCTGTTTTTATCACGAATAAAGAGACGTCGGCTGATAATTGACAAATCTTTACGCAAATTAGCTGCGAGAATCTCGACAGATCCGTGCGAATTGAACGAGTCAACGTGACGACGTTGAAGTGGGCGAACGACGAGGAGATGAATCAAATATAAAACGAGATACGCATGCGGTAGTAACTCTCTCTTTCGAGGATGCCTCGTTTTGCGGTGAGTACTTTTTGCCTTTAGTATTTCTCGCAGGTAAATAAATAGATTAAGTTAGCACTTCGCAGTTAGCCTTAAAACGCACGTTTCCCAAAACGAAAAAATGTATTCTACAGATTTGATTTTGTTGTTGCAAGATATAAAGTAAAATGTGAGAGTACTCTGTAAAACTTTTAAAGTGAATTTCTCTGAAAAGTAAAACCTCACTCTTAAAGATTGAGCCACTCTTTTTTCAAGATTGACTCAATTTTCATTCTTAAGAGTGAAATTTCATTCCAAAGAATTTAGAGAGTAACGATACCTAATGTACGCGAGTACACCATTCATCTCGTTTGCCAAGATAGAGTGAACAATCTTGTACATTATTACCTGCGGAAAGATAAACATGATTGTCATGTCACATAACTCTTAACACACACACAGGGTGTTTCAGAAATAGTTGTCCAAACTTTAAGAGTATATTTCACTCATTGTAAGGATGAAAAAAGTCATATAAATGAGTTCGGAAACGCTTTCTTTCCAAGTTATAGATTTTTTATTTACTTATATCTAATCATTTTCATTACAGAAATTGCTGGAAATGATCGTCTTTGAGAAAAGATTTGTTGATAGAGCTTCTCTGCAGTTTCCATTAGCTCACCCATACATGTAATGGATATCTGCCAATTCGATATAGAATAAGCCATGTTGATGAATACTATCTTCACTCTTAAATGCTTAAATAAAGACTGATTCCAATTCCAGACCTATCTAATAACTTTTTGTTTACTTTAAAAGGTGAATAGAAGTACAATTCATGAAGCGTCGAAGCGAGGCATGTCGTCCGACATAAATACGTACAATGTAAATAAGAAATGTTTATAACTTGAAAAGGAAGCGTTTCCGAACTCATGTTTATATGACTTTTTTTCATCATTACAGTGAGTGGAATATGCTCTTAGAGTTTGGTCAACTATTTCTGAAACACCCTATATACATATATATAACTATATACGCAAATTATAAGTTGCACAAGACTCAATTCTATAATGATCTTTAATAATTATTTTGATTCTCAACAATTTTAATCGAAGATAATATAAAGATATAAAGATTTTCGCATCTTTATATGGATTAATATCAGTGACACAGAGAAATTGCTTCCGCTTTCATACTCGTTGCTATGGTTTTGTCACGTGCTAAGTTCTCCACGTTCTCAATTTTGTACGAATTCGTTTCATACAAGTGTATTAGATCGAAGTTTTAACGAAACAGGTTCTATTTCTAGTCACGTTCAGATGAATTTTGATTATTTTTGATAATTGAATGTCATCACAGTAAACTGGTAACAGGCAGTTACCAGTTTACTGTGATGACATTCGATTAATATGTCACGATACAATAAACAATATTTCCAGTTTTTCAACTTTTTGCTTACGGTTGAATATATAACGATCGTTATTCTGAATCAATGAATAAAATGCGAAACCGATTTAATTGGGAAAAAAATAAATTTAAATAAATAAATAGCTGTATTAATTAGTATGTAATATTAATTAATAATACTAACACGATTCTCTAAAGCCGAAAAAGGTTTTTATAATCCTTAAATACGAATATATATCTTGGATTTGCATACTCTCGCCTCTGTTTTCAGAAATTCATCGAACAAAGTTATAAAGTAATTAACATAAACACTTTATGAATAAACATGAAGGTCAACTTTTACTTTATATCAAAGCGATAATCAGGGATTTAAAAGAACATCTTCAATGACAACCGTGTTTATCTTTCAGCGCGCAATAAACTTGTGTCTCAATCTTTCACGTGTAAATATATTTGTGTAATCGCTGAAATAACGTGAGTGCAAAATACAAATTTCGACTGTAATTTCGTACGCTTTTCACGTCTCAACAGAGACGATATATTCAGGTGCTGTAGGCAAAAGGTAGAGAAAAGGGAAAGGAAATAAAGTGCAGAGAGACGCAAATAGTTGCCAAATAACTAGGACTAAAATGGAAAGCTCGACATATATAGCACAGGATTGTTCTTAGTTCTTACCTATGTCAGCGTGGCAAATGCAAACGTGATAAACAATAGCAACTCTAAGCAGCTTACGACAAACAACAGAGATTTGGCGGATTGCTCATCTGACCTACTGCGTACATGCGGAATACTTGGAATGGTTATATCATCGTTCAGGATATCGATATATGAACAAAAAAGCGACTTACTTCGGTATTACCTTCTAATTCTTTCCCAAGTAACGTTAGCTTTATAATCACCGACATTGTTATCCGTTGACACTTCAGAAAATCGATGAGAAGTCTATAAGAAAATTTAAATTATCACGAGAATATTAATTACACGACGGAAAGAGTAGAACTGCGTATAAATAATTTTTATGACGCTATATTACTTTTTAAAACTGCTATCAATTTACTGAATATTATTAACCTAATTTCATATCATCTTATCTGATCATACCAAGCATACGTTTTGTTTTATTTTTGTCTTTTGTCTAACTTGGAATCAATAATCTGAAACAAAGGATACCACATTAATTATATAGAAAATTGGATCTCCGCGTGAAATGACTTTTACTTTTATATGTAATTTAACTTATAATGTAATGAACAAAAGATGTCACAAAGCTCAATAATGAATAATTTTTCAACTATGGTATATTAAAGATGCTCCGTAAGCACCATAGCTAAAAAGAATTATCTGTTATTGAGCCTTGTGATATTTTTTGTTCACATTACAAGCTACATCATGTATAAAAACTGACTCATTTCACCGGAACTCAATTTATCATATAATTAGTAGACCCTGAACTAATTATATGGAAAATTGTGTGATAACTCATTTCCCGGGACCCATTTTTCATATAATTAGAATGTGGATTTTTCATGAATACAACACATTTTTTCCTATTCTGATAAAACACCTTTAACATATCATATGTGCGATTTATTTTTATCTTCAGCAAACTATTGTCCCCTGAGTAGGAATTCATGTTACGCTTTGCTCCAAATTAAAAATTGAAAAAGAAATCTGTCAAAACTGTCCGATAAGTAAAAACCTTGATATAAATAATACCCTGATGTAATCGATTGTGTTTTGTTTTGAAGATAGCGGAGATATCTTATCAGAAATATATAAGAATACTACATAAAGGTGAGAGAGAAAAGATAGACACTCAGAATCAGCCTTATAATCGCACTCTCATAAAAAGCTGAGATTTCTGAGAACATGCAATTATCTGGTAACAGTAATCTATTTGCCATACGTTATCTTATTTCCGTAAAAAAGATGAAAGGGAAGATATATACAGATCCGGTAAATATTGACATTCGAATTTCTGGAATAAGCTTACATAAATATAACGGTAATTAAAATGAAACTAATCGTAATAAATCAAAATAACTGATCTTTGCTTTAAATTATACGAGAAATTTGCAAATTAAGAGTTCTTATTCCAGTAAATAACAGATGTAATAAAATGATTGTGCTTGTAAAATATCATAAAAAGCATTTGAAAAAATCAACAGACTTATTCCGTAATAATCTCGCTGAATTAATCAACTAAGACTTTTAAGTGTTCTATCAGTAAATTGCACGACGGACTTACTTATAACTTTAAAAATCGTTAATTTATAAGCATGTTTCAAAGTAATGGATTATTTCGATTAGATTTTACTATCAACCGTCAAAGCTTTCGGCTTTAAAAATTCGTGAAAGGCAAACAGATCAAGTAGATATAAATCAATCGTATCTGATCATTTCAGAGTATTGTCAACAATTTTCGCGTTTTTTACAGTGGTATTCGATTTAACCTTTCAGTACAACCGTATCGTATTACAATCCGATACAATTTTACTCGTTCACCCGTGCAATACTAGATAATGAAACAGTTATTCATAACATTCAACCATCTTTCCATAACAACAATACAACGTTGACATAATCAAGTTTGACGACGATAAAATAAGCGACAGCTACATAATTATTCTTCGAACGTGCATAATTAATATTGCATGAACGTTAATTAAAGGTACGTTATGGATAAACCGTGGAAGGTTTTCTTTTAGATTATAATAAGAGGGATAAAGCTCATCATATTGTGATGCAGCAGGAAAATATTGTTCTCTGTCGCTATTACTTCACAAATTTATACAATAAATTTTGCATATTTAATTATTATACAACAATTTTTGTTATCCAATTACTAGCATTTATTTTCTGTGTGTTTCACTCATTATAAAAATTAAGTAGAAATACCGCGCTTACGTACACTTTTTAAGTTTTTTACTACTGTGTGATATCATATCTTATTTATAATACATAAAAATAATTGAACAATAAAATGCTAACAAAGGAAGAAAATTTCATTCATACGACGAATTCGTTACGCTCGAAATCCGAAAGATTCAATCCGAATGATTCAATTAAATTACCTCGACGGGAAAAAAATCAATATGCCAATTAAGAATCTTAATGACACTTCGTTTATTTGTTCGCGCAAAAGAAAAGCCAATTAAACAAATAACAGGAAAGAGAAGTTTGAGCAGGAGCACTCGAGACTTCTGTCATTGGCAAATTGCATTTTGCGACAAATGAAAATGAACGTACAAAATAAACGTACACATTAGAAACAATTATAATTATTTTATTCCGAATCCATCTCGAACAAAAATCCACGATACTAATTAGCAAACATGATAATTTCCACCGAAGGCATATGCGATTCGGGAACATTACTCGGGTAGCAAGGTCTAAATTCAATAAAGTGACGCACACCATTCCGTCGTACATACACGTCGCGTTCCGTCTGCCAATCGCAAATGCGTGATTAAATTACGCGGGTACGCGCATTCGTGGGACGCTTTGAATTTTTCACGGCACCGTACGAATCGATCCGCGACACGAGTGCACGGAAAATATTGACGCACTTCCGCCGCACAACAAGCCTTCAATTCCAATGTCGATTTTAAAAGACGAGAGACACAGATGGATTGAAG